GCAGATTACAAACAACTGAACAGGAACTGACTAGGTTCTTGTATTTGAACATAACAATTTGATCCCTAATTGATTAATATCATAGAGACAGAAATGTAAATATGTATGTACATACAAACGAATATACAGATTGATGGATGGATGTAAGACAGCCACATTTATGTAATAAATAAACCAACCTCCCAACTAACTATCACTTTGAGTTATTCTTATAACATGATAGGGAACCAGTTTTCAGTCACTATGGGTAGACCAGACCAGAAAATAAATTGCACAGGAAGACTAAAACTATTTTTGTTGAAAATGGCTATTGTTAAGTTTGAGCAATGAGAGGCTGAACCAGAGCATGAGTGCAACAATACTTTATTATAACAATAAAGGGCTGACCGTGCTTGCCACGCCTGGAACTGGCTCGCAGCAATCAGCAACTGGTTGGACCCCGCAGCCTGCTTTTATAGCTGGCTACTGGGGAGAACCAACCAATGAGGAAAGGGGGAAGAGTGCCCACACAAAGTGAGTGGACCTGAGTGAGAACTCCTTGAGTTCTCAGGACATAACACCCCTTCCCCCCAGATGCGAACATGCATAGTCTTTGAGGTAGGCAGGAGGTTTATGTTGGCGCCCGGAACGGCGTAGCTCTGGAACGTCGTCTGTCCATCCGGGGGCTGCCTGGGAAGGCAGAGTCGGCAAAGTGTCACCAGTGTGCCCCTCGGTTCGGGCCTGCCCGGGGCTCGTAGGGTTGACCACTGGGGATGTGCTCCCATAGACTGGATCGGGCTGGTCAACTGTCTGGGCGCCGCTGTCTGTGTTTGGGCTTTCGGAACCGGCTGTAGGTGCGAACTGATCGCCGGGCGTGATGTGGATGTGAGGCTGAGGATGAAGCCTCCCCTCGTCTTGTGCCTCTGGGTCCCTGCTGGCGATGGTGCTGAGGCGTCTGCGCAGTTGGTCTACGTGCCTTCTCCAGACGCGGCCATCCTCCAGTCTGACCCGATACGACCGCGGCCCGGTGATAGCTACGATCTCGCCCGGGATCCACAGGGGGTCTCCAGCGAAGTTCCTTGCGAAAACTGGCTCCTGTAAGATAAAATGTCTAACCCCCGATGTGGAAGCGAGGGGAGAGTCAGGGCAGTATTGTGGGTGTAGTCTGTCCAATACAGTCCTCAGACGCCTGCCCATCAGGAGCTCAGCTGGGGACTTATTGGTGACTGAACAAGGAGTTGAGTGCTGGCTCATCAGGAACCGCAAGAGTTTGTGGTGCCAGTCATCCTTGTTGAACCTTGCCAGGGCTTCTTTAGTGGTCCTGACGGCCCTTTCAGCCAATCCGTTACTGGCAGGATGAAATGGGGCTGTGAAAATGTGGCGGATACCCAGGTTGGCAGCGAAACGGCTGAACTCAGTCGATGCGAACTGTGGGCCATTGTCGGAGACAATGGAGTCGGGTAGCCCGTGCGTTACGAACAGGCGTGTTAACACGTTGGTGATTGCTAGTGTGGTGGTCGTGGATAGCTGTGCTACGTCAATCCATTTGGAATAGGCGTCCACGACCACTAGGAACATCTTCCCATGCAGAGGGCCGGCCAGGTCGATGTGGATTCTGGACCAAGGAGCGCTGGCGCTTTCCCATCTAGTAGGGGTGGCAATGGGGGGAGCAGGATGGGATTCCTGGCAAATGCTGCAGGAACTTACCCAATTGACAATGTCCTCGTCTAGACCCGGCCACCACACGTAGCTGCATGCTAACGCCTTCATTCTCACGATGCCAGGATGTCCCTCGTGCAACGCTTCCAGAACTCGGGTACGCAGTGAGATCGGGATGACCACTCGAGTGCCCCATAGTAGACAGCCCTGCAGACTGGACAACTCCTGCATGCGAGTCTTAAAAGGTGTGAATTTGTTATCAACATTGCCACCCGGCCACCCCCTCCTCACCCAGTCGAGCACCTGGGCGAGCGTTTGGTCTGCCTTGGTTTTAGCAGCAATGTCCAGGGCAGTGATGGGTAGGTCCAACTGGGTGATCTCGAAAATAGCGTGGACAGGAGCAGGGTCTTCAGCCGGGGCCGGCAAGGGGCAGCGACTGAGTGCGTCAGCGTGGGACAGTGTTTTACCCGGGCGGTGTATAAGTCTGTAGGAGTAGGCTGCTAGGAAGAGAGTCCACCTTGTCATCCTAGGGGAGAGGACTTGAGGGGTCTGTTTGTCCCCGGCTAGTAGGCCCAGGAGGGGTTTGTGGTCCATGACCAGCTCGAAAAAATGGCCAAAGAGGAATTCGTGAAATTTTTTCACGGCTGCAACGGCTGCTAGGGCTTCCTTATCGATCTGGCTGTAATTGCGCTCCGTTGCAGAGAGCGTCCTTGAGAAAAAGGCGATGGGAGCCTCGGCGCCATTGGGAAGCCTGTGACTTAGTACCGCCCCAATTCCAAAAGGGGAGGCGTCTGCTGCCAGTACTAAAGGGAGGTTAGGGTCGAATTGAATAAGTACCGCCTCTGACGTGAGTAGTGATTTGACGGCGCGAAAAGCATGGTCTTCTTTGTGCCCCCAGTGCCACGGTGACTTTTTATCCAGTAATCTGTGTAGGGGTTCAGCTACTGATGCTTTATGGGGCAAAAAGGATGCGTAAAAGTTCAATAGCCCCAAGAACGCCTGTAGTTCAGTTTTGGAGGTTGGAGTGGGTGCCTCGTGGATTGCCTTAACCTTAGACTCCAGGGGGTGAATGCCAGAGGCGTCAATTTTATAACCCAGAAAGTCCACCTGTCTAGTGGCAATGGCACATTTTTCTTTTTTCAACTTGAGGCCATGCTGTCTGAACCTCTCTAACACGGCTCGAACTCTTTGGAAGAGTTGGGGTCTGTCCCTGGCCGAGACTAAGATGTCATCGAAGTAGAGTACTACACCAGGGAGGCCCTGCAAAATCTGCTCCATGAGGGATTGAAAAATACCCGGGGCAACACTTACACCAAATTGGAGACGCTTGCATCGGAAGGCACCCCTGTGAGTGACAATTGTCTGGAGTTCCGCTGTTTGGTTATCTACAGGGAACTGCTGATATGCTTGCGACATGTCCAATTTAGCAAAAATGCTGCCTGGTTCGAATGTGTGTAATAAGTGCTGGATGATGGGCACAGGATAAGCGCTAACTTGTAGAAATTTATTGATTGTCGTCTTGTAGTCCGAGCAAATTCTCAGGCTACCGTCTTTTTTGAGGGGTGTGACAATGGGCGTCTCCCATTTGGCGAAATCTGTTGGCTCAATGACCCCTTGTTTTAATAGTTTATCCAATTCCGCATGTAGTTTTGGCCGAATAGCAAATGGGACCCTACGCGGTTTTAGCCTGATTGGGACTGCTTGGGGGTCAACTGAGAATGAGATGGGGGTACAGTTATAACACCCCAGCTCTTCGCTGAATACATCTGAGTAATCAGCGAATAAGGAGTCAGTGTCTGAGGTTGAGACAGCATGGACTCCTGTTAGCCCTAGGCCGAGATGGGGAAACCAATCGAGCCCCAATAAGGTGGGTAGATTGCCGTTAACTACCACTAGAGGTAGGTGACCTTTAAAAGCTTTAAAACTGACAAGAAACTTGCCTCTGCCGATTACAGGAATGGTCTTCCCCTGGTAGTCTTTCAGGCCAAACTGGCATTTCTGGAGCCGGCTAGTGGATAGGCTTGGTTGGAGCCTCTTGAGGGAGTTCCACGAGATAATTGAGAGCGCTGACCCTGTGTCAACCTCCATGCGGCACGGTTTACCTTCTAGGGAAACGGAGAGAGAAATTTTACTAACAGTGTGGCAAGTGTGCTTGGCAAGGTGGTGCGTGCGACAGTTCAATACTTGCCTCTGTGGTCCCGCGTGCGAGGGGGGTGCCTTTGTGCTGTGCTTTGGGGGGCTTGGCAGACTCTCGCGATGTGTCCCCTTTTATGGCAGTTATTGCAGATGGCTCCTTTAAACTTGCAGGTGGCCCTCTGATGAGATCCCCCACAGGTTAGGCACAGGGTGATGTGCTTGGGTGGACCGATGTTTTCATGTTTGGCTCCTACCTGCGGCCGTCTGTCATTGGAGAGGCGGTGGACTTCGTTTTCATCACTGACGGTTTCCTCTGCTACCACCTCCTCGGAGTGGACTGGGAGTGATGTTAGCTTGGCACTTGGGCCCTGGATTTCGGTGGCTGAGTTTGTTGCCAGCTCAGCTGCCAAGGCCTCCTCGACTGCTTGCACAAGGTTGAGGTCTCTTTTTGCGAGAAGGCGCCTTTGCAGATGGAGGTCCTTGACCCCGCAGACTAATTGATCGAGGAGCATGTCCTCCAGGTAGGTTCCAAACCCACAATGCAGTGCTGCTGTTCTGAGAGTAGCCATATATTGATTGATGGTCTCCTTGCTCGATTGCTTCCTCATACGGAAGGTGAATCTCCTGGCAATCTGTGAGGGCCTGGGGGAATAGTGGTTAGTGAGAATTTCAAGTAACTCAGACCACGGAACGTTTTTCAACTCACGAGGAGCCACGAGTGCCGTGGCAGTATCGTAGACGGTGGCTCCACAGTAGATTAGGAAATACGATTTTTTCCGATGCTCCCCCGCATCCGCCAGGCCAACTGCATCAATATAATGATTAAAGCGGTTCTTATACGATTCCCACTTCTCCTCGTCTGGTTTGAACGCCGGGAAGACTGGATTGGAACTCATGGTGCTGGGACCGGTTGAACCACCTGTGGAAAAATCTCTCTGGGGCAGCAGACAATGTTTTAGTGCCCGTGGTGGGCAAGTGATTTCAGCTCAGGAGAGGCTGTTTGCAATCCTCTCTTTGTCTCTGGGTTAACCACGTTTGGCTGTTAGCCGTTGATGGCATTTGGATTCGCGCCTGTGTGGGCGTCAGTGACTGGCTACAGCGCTGTGCTGTACCTTTTAGGTTTGAAATTCAAATGACAACCGTTTGAATTTCGCGCCTGATACTGAGCGGCTGCGGTTCGCAGCGCTTCACTTTCCCTATAGCTGGGCTAACAAGTGGCTACAGACGCTTCTAACTTTCGATTCTGACCGCTCTCTCTGGCTGCGGATCAGCGTTTGCTTCTTATCGCTTGCTGGCCGCTTCTCTGTCAGCGGATCAGCGTTTGCTCTTTTTGTTTGCTCTTTTTGTTTGCTGACCGCTCTCTCTGGCTGCGGATCAGCGTTTCTCTTATCGCCGGCCGATCGCTCTCTCTGGGCTGCGGATCGGCGGCTAGTGACTCAGCGGTTGCATGGTGCTTCTGGTAGCCATCCCATCCTCGTCGCCAGTGTTAAGTTTGAGCAATGAGAGGCTGAACCAGAGCATGAGTGCAACAATACTTTATTATAACAATAAAGGGCTGACCGTGCTTGCCACGCCTGGAACTGGCTCGCAGCAATCAGCAACTGGTTGGACCCCGCAGCCTGCTTTTATAGCTGGCTGCTGGGGAGAACCAACCAATGAGGAAAGGGGAAAGAACGCCCACACAAAGTGAGTGGACCTGAGTGAGAACTCCTAGAGTTCTCAGGACATAACAGCTATAATAATAGAACCTTGAAAATCTGATAGTTCTGAACCTCAGAATCCTGTGAATTAGGGAGAGATCTGCCTGAGATACTTCTGAATGTTTTTTTATAGTTACACACTTAACTACAAAGAAAAAAAACATTTTGGACCTTTTCGCTTAGATAACAATTCTCGCACACCCTGTCAAAGCCATCTTCCTTATTTTCTATTCAGTGCAGCTCACAATGTAATGATATGTAATGATGTACAAGGATATACCTTGTACATCCATATCTACCCATACAACTACAATTTGGAATAATTGTAACTTTTGGATGTTATCAAGGGCAGCCCCATGTAGAATCAGCTGAGAGGCAAGTATAATGTCAATGATGGTGAACAGAGCCTCCTAGTTCAGGAATTAGTGCAAATGTTGTACAAGGTAAAGAAATACACTCCTGGCCACAGCTTTGCCAGCTTATCAAGCAAGTAATTAAGAAGGCAAGCGGACATACAGATTATGATATTAAATCTAGGTAGGGAAGTGTAGTGCATTCAGAAGCAAATATGGAACAATCCTGGTCTTGAATTCTAGTCAAAATCCCAGAACCAATTGGGTTTGGAGAAGTTGAACTTTAGTTTTTATTCCCCGTGTAGAGCACATATCTTTAAAAACTAAGGAAAAACCTCAATTCCTTTGCTTGTTCGGCCAGGTGTATGTGTGTACACTCACTCTCTCTCTCTCTCTCTCTCTCTCACACACACACACACACACACACACACTTCATTTAGATGTTAAAAGAAGTGGGGAGAAAATACAGCCCTAAGGCATCTCAAGACAATACTCTAGGTCTAGACAACTCCTCCTTAACACCTCCTGGAACCAGTCCTGAAGGAAGGAAAAAAAAACCTAACAGAGTGTTTCCCACTCCCTATCTCCAAAGCTGACCAGAAGAATGACCATAGCTAAAAGTTACTTATCTATTGTGAAGTGCCAGGATGAATACATTACACCCTTCTGAGCCTTTCTTAGGATGTCAATAAGCATAATCAAAGTTGTTTCAATTTATCCTGGATTACATCCCACCTGCAACAGTTCTGATAATTTGCTCTCTTGGGGACCCTTTTGAACTGCAGTTCCACACCTTTCTAAAAAAAAATTCTCCCAAAAGGAAAGGTTGAAAAAAGTGAAAATTGTCCACAATTGTAGGCTCCAATGATAGCTTCTTAAGGAGTGAGTAGATAATCTCTTCCTTTAGATTTAACAAAACTACCTATCGATTTCAAATAAAGATTGACTACAACATAGATACACCTACATGCATTTTTTCCATAATGTATAACCAACCAGGAGATGAATGGATCTAAAACACAAATAGCTGGACCAAAAGTATTAAGGACCCTTCCCACTCCTTCAGAGTAACAAATTTGGAGGTTTTAAGAAGAAACTGAGTATAAGGTTTCCTGCTTGAGCAGTGGGTTGAGCTAGAAGATCTACAAGATCCTTTCCAACTGTGTTATTTTGAACTTCTGGATAACAGCACAAAATGGTTTTTCAGTCAACTCAAAGATGAAATCCAACATTGAGAGGAAGTGAGCAAATTTATCTACCAAGTGCTGATAATATTTCTCACAGTAATTCTGTCAGGTTCTCCACCAAGCCAAAGGGAGAATCCAGGATGGGTAGTCTCTTGTCTCAAAGCTCTGCAGACCAAGTTGAAAAACTGAGGACACACCCCCTGGTAACGGTCCCCAGTTCTTCACTCAGTCTCAGCGTGTTCAGACCACCCTTTAAGGGCTCTGAATAGTTCAGATTGTAGAAGATTTACTCCCTGGATTGAGGTTTTTTCTCTTCAAGAACCTTAGAGCAGGTTTGACAGCGAGCCGGCTTGCAGGTCAGCACTTTTTTATTTTTACTCCCTTTTTTTAAAAAAAAAATTTTTTTGCTGGTGGACTGGTTTTTGGAATTGTGGTTGTAAATTTGGTTGGAGGTGGTCTTGAGAGCCTGTGTGGGAGCAGTCAGTGTTTTATTCAACTCACTTTCTCCCAGTCTGTTCTTATTGATCTGTGCTAGCTTCAAAAACCAAGACGCACTTCTGCCCCTTTTCGGCATCAGTGGCCATTTCAGATGTTTTGGCACAATTCTGCAGTTCGTCTCCAGGATTGTCCCTTGTGGGGATACTGGCCATCTGGATTGAATCCTGACCCCCTGTCCAGTCACCAAAGCACCAGGGCAGCTGTGAGACGCTTGAGACTGCCAAATTGATTGCAGTGCAGCCAGAACTGGTTTGCAAGCCTCTGATCTGTTGCTTTGACTCTTGCCTTAAATTGCGAAACTGTGCTGAGCTCACCACTTCTGGGTTGCACTAGCCTCCTGAAATGGTGGACAGCTGCTGTGACCAAAGCAGACAGCTTTAGATCGAATAAATTTTGTTTTTATTTTTCTTTTGCCCCTTTTATCCTTTTCTTTCTCCCTGTCAGTGACAATAATTTTTGGTGGGCTCAAAATGGTCACCAGGGGAGCTGGCCAAGAATTATCAGCACCTCATCAGAGTAGGAGAGAGCTGCAAGGGGATCAACTAAGTCCAGGTGTGCTGGGCTGGAGGCAGCAGCTAGGATCAGAGCTAGGACCCTAGCCCCTAAAAGACCCTCTAGGGCAGAGGATAGGCAGGGCAGGAATAGACAGAAAAGCCCTAGATAAGGAGTTTGATAAGGCAGTGAGAGACTCCAAGATGGCTGAAAACAGGGCCATCTCTCCTCTGCTCCCACAAGATGGCAGGCAGCAAGACCAATTGGCAGATAGAAAATATTTGACTGCCTGATCTCCTGGTGGCTCAAGTACTCAGGATTTGCAGGGAAACCTCCAAATCAAGGCAAAAACCACTCATAATAATTCTGAGCCACCACAAGGATTTTTGATTGCTGCATCTGGAAGCCAAGCCTCCAGCAGAACCAGACCTGTGCCTGAAATAATAATAATAATAATAATAATAATAATAATAATAATAATAATAATAATAATAATAATAATAATAATAAT